CATCCGCTCGAAATGTTCCCCGAAGCTCCAGCGGCTGTCCAGGATGAGGCCGAGGTATTTAATATGCCGGCCAACCTCGACCTCAGTTCCCCCATTCTAATAAGCGAGTGAGTGGGAACTGCACCTTTGCGTTTCCTATGGAACCACAAGGCTTCCGTCTTATTAGGTGCAACCCTTAGACTCAGACCGCTGAAACGTAGTGTACCCTTGAAAGGAAATCCCCGGTACGCAGACACGCTTGGTCAATATATATTCAATAGAAGGTCTCCATTAAGCTATTCAGCTTAAACCAATTTTTAAAATAACTCCAGTATCCGTACAAATCCTACAAATTACAAACATTTGGTAACTCGATAGAACTTTCTAAAGGCTTATTCCATCTGCCTTTGTTTCGTTATCTCTCCTCGTCAGTCGTACCGTTCTGAATACCTGTTTATGTTATTAGAATAAATTTATAACTGTTTGTTGTTATTAGTTATTTAATCTCAATCCTTAATCCTCAGGAATACAAGATACTGAAACATAAATATATGATGAATTATAATATATCTAATGTAAGTATTTATTTGTTGTTTTTGAATCATTGCTATATAAATTTATGTCTGTATATGATTTTTGGTATTAAAACAACAAGTTTCCAGACAGACTTAAGTGAGAGTGAAGACGCAATACTCAAAGATTCAAGAATTTAATGATAGTTTCAGTATTTGGCTATTATATTCGTACCTAATTACAAATGCTTTTCGTGCTTAAACATATTATGTCTAATGTATTTTTACATTTATGCAGTACTATACAACTCTTCCGGTAAGTGCAATATAAAATAATATTTTGATAAATACAAAGCGTAGAAGTCACTTAATAGCAGACAGATATTTCAGCATTGATTCGGCGACTGTAGATATCGGTCAAGACAGAGTCGTAACATTTTAATTAATAATATAAGTTTGCAAGAACTTGGAACTTGGGGTGATAGGGCATAACCCACTCTCGCCCCTGATGACAACTCAATTGATCAAAAAATATTTCCACAAGAAGGACAAAACAGCTTATTCGGTTCTGTTGCCCCATATATAAAGGTATATCTCGAATTCCTATGATAACCATAGATTCGTCCTTTGCTTTCAAAGTTATTCAACTTCCCGTAAAGATTTTGGTTCTAGATACTTTTTTAGTAATAATAATTTGTCACATTTCAGCATTCTTTTTAATTTAAATTATCCACTATAACTTGAAATGTCATTGTATAGACTATTGTACCATCACAGGATAAAATGTATACTGGACACCTATAGCTCTATGAATCTGTTACACAATTTTTAACTTAACAGCTTGTTTTTTTTTTAATTATTAGCTTCTGCACTATTTCCAAATATGACCATTAAGTATACCTAATATGATATATGTACAAAGAAGTTTCTTCACATATAAATTTATCATCATCACACATCACATCAACAGCCTTTAACAGTCCACTGCTGGACATAGGCCTCTCCTTAGAAAGGAGGTTTATGGATTTATTAAAATTTCAGCCGCTAAGCCTAAAAGCACAACTACTGTCTTTACCGCATTATGTAAGTAATAACAAAAATGATCTCAGAACTATATCATTTAAGAACCGACTTAGAAAATTGTTTGTTTTTTATAAAGCCCTCCCAAATAAAAACTTATTTTTCACTTTCTATTCCTATTTAAAGCTAAAATACCATTCCAAAGAGTAACAAATCAAGAAGTAGTGTAAAAAGAAGTAAATGAGCAAGGCAAGGTAAACCAGGCAAATGAACAGACCACCTGATGGTAACGATGACCTCCGTCAGGACACCTGCGATCTAGTCGACACAAATACTTTGCCGACCGTCGAGTGACCCCCTTCCAGAATTAGGTAGGTGCTCCGGTAACCTTAGTCACTCGGTGAAAATATACGAAAGAATAGCGTAACATGCATTTTCTGTCTTCACACATCAACAGCCTTTAATAGTCCACTGCTGGACATAGGCCTCTTCTCAGAAAGGAGGTTTTGGCCTACTATACTACGCTGGCCAGACGGGTTAGTATAGAATTTGTTTCAAGTTTTCCTTCTCTGTGCAGTGCTGTTGTCCTGCAGAGTTTAATCCCTTAGTCGGCTCTTACGACACCCACGGGATTTATAAGGGTGGTGACAATCCGTATTTCTAATCCGTCACCACACGGACATTGTAGATTTTCTGTGAAGCCGTGGTATCAGTCTGGTTTTGCTCTTATGTGCTAAAGCATGGCTCTTCCATGGTTAAAATGTAGGTCTTAAATACGCCTCTATCTACCCCTTCGGGATGTGGGTACGAGATATCTGATTATGTGTATTTGGACCCTATTTGGGGTACATTAAAGTGAATTTAGATAATCTGTCCTAGTTGATGGTATGAGCTTATAAATACATTTCAGTAAATAAATTACTATGCGTATAATATGTTTAAGGATGATTTTGGCTCGCCTATAAAATGGGTGAAATTCAATTCGGTAAGTGGTTTTATATGTCATAACTTTTCTATATCTCTTACATGTAAAACTAAAAGGGATAACTTGACAGTTCTCACATAGAGTCATCTGAAGGCCTTGTGCAGGTTTATTTCACATCACCTCGCTCTGGACAGCAAGCACGTTCGGCGTTGCTATTGGAGAAGATTTCAGCGCGGGCCAATCGCAGCGTAGAACGCGGTCACCGTGACGATCGAATAGAAGTGAAATAAACTCGCACTTGGCCCTCTGATCCCAAATCAAGCAGTGCCTGTACAATGCTAACAAGACGACTGATAACGCTACTTTACAAATCCATACTTCCACTTCTACTTTTTACTCTATAGACAACACGTGGCCGCGGTAAAAGCTAGTAGTAGTAGTTTGTTAGGATTCACACCTAAACTACTGAACCGATTTTAAATATTCTTTTACTTTTTAACCGACTTCAAAAAGGAGGAGGTTCTCAATTCGATTGGTATGTTTTTTAATGGAAAGCTAGCGAGTAACAAAGGCTACCTTTTACCGCGATAACCGACAAACACGCGGGCGGAGTTGCCGGCAAGGCTAATATTATAGATAAATTAAAACCTGACATAGATTCAATGATTATTTTAATCATACAATTTAAACAAAAAAAAGAACTACTAATCGTGGGAATCAAACCCACGATCACTGGTTTATCAGTCACCACACCTGCCAGGCCTGTCATTTTCACATCAATAAAGTTTGAAGACATCATTTATCAAAAGGCTTGTGGAAGTGTTAAAAACAGGTCATTTTTTTAAATATATAAGATAATTTTTTTTATTTTTTCTTCCCTTAAATATTTGATTGACATTTTCATATTTTGACAGCCTGAAACTGTGGATGGCTTAGCCCAAGTCATGGTAAAGTATCACATATAATATTAATTTATTTATTTATTTAGACAGAGTCCATGGTGTTTGTAAACAGTTTTTGTTAACCTATGTTAGTAGTTGTCAAAGTTATCTACTATTTATGGTTAATTTTTAATGCAGTAAGGGTCTAACAATGTATTTATTATAGCACTGTCATATTTAAGTATATAGATATGCTCAAAATGCTTAAAATACTATAGTTTTATAGGTATAGTACAAATCAAACAATATAACGTCAGTCAATTGACAGAACCGCACGTAAGGCGTTAACGAACAAAAAAATGACATTTCCCAATGCACAGTATCATAGAAGATGTACGATTACTTTAACTTACTAAAAAGTCAAAACATTAATTTCTTTTTCTTTTAAAGAATATGCCTATTATTTGCATTGTGAAATGTCATTTTTTTGTTCGTTAACGCCTTACGTGCGGTTCTGTCAATTGACTGATGTTATATTCCGTGTGATTTGTACTGTACTTATAAAAACTATATTACTATTAGGGTCCTTAAAAAATCACAGTTAACGGACAAAAAGTAAGCCCAAGATTAGAACAGTCATAATAAATTATTCACCCAAATAATTATCCTTATCGACGACGACTTAAACCACTCAACTCAAATACATCAATAATTCACATCACACATCATCACATCAACAGCCTTTAATAGTCCACTGCTGGACATAGGTCTCTCCTTAGAAAGGAGGTTTTGGCCTACTATACCACGCTGGCCAGACGGGTTGGTATAGGGATTGTATCAAGTTTTCCTTCTTTTTGCAGTGCTGGTGTCCTGCGTTGTTTTGCGTCAATAATTATTACGGCAGTATTAACTATCCCCATAATTTGCCATGTACAATTACACAGTATATTAGACACTTACACACTGGTTGCAAAATATTTTGTAAATAATAGTCATTATGGTAATTAATATTTTATGTTTTAGGACAAAACTAAAACGCAGAATCAACAACACATTGTGCAGGTTTGTAAAACTTTTTTATCAAATGGTTTTATGAACTCTTCTTGTGTCTTCTCTTGTGACGCATAACGTCAAAAAAACCACTACAGATGTCATTATGCTTGTCCTCATTCTAATTTAGGTTATATTGTTGAATGGGAAAATGAAATACAAAATTTCCAAGATATATTCTTTACAACTATGCAGAGTAGTAACAAAGCTAAACTTAAACAGAAGTTCCTTTTCATTCTACAATTTGCAGTATAAGAACGTTCTCTTTACTATTTCTAAAAGGACTTAAGAAGTGCTAAGACTTCTGTAAATGTCCACGTTTTTTTTTTTACTTTTCGATGTACTTATTATCGAACTGAAGAGTTTGTTCGTTAATTTAGTATAAGGCCTATTAATGGCACGAATTGAAAAAATATTTTAATGTTGGCTATCCCCTTTATCGAGGGAGACTATATAACATCACGCTACGGCAAATAGGGAGCCCAATATCTATGATTTTTTTTTCAAAAAACGGTAAAAAATTATTCCTTTCAGAGACACAGCCGAAGCTGTTCTTACAAACATATAAAATTTAAAAAAAACGAATCGATTTCCTTTCAGGGGACTATTTTTGTGCCAGTCATTGACCGCAGTATGCTACGCTTAGGAATGCCGGTACGTCGTACGCTAATATTTTTCTTAAGACGACTCCCACACTAGGAATATATCCTGGGTCGCGGGGGACCCTAGAAACATACATAAATAAAACAGACACAAAGAACACCCAGACTCAGTACAACATCTGTGGATAACACAAAGTGTCGTCCCGTGTGGGGATGGAACTCACAACACTTGGTAACACTCGGTGCAGTCATTATTAATTTTTAAATTTTTTATCATATTTAATCATCATCTATAATAAAGCTTATAAATTTTATGCTCTGCTTTGACATTAAAAAATAAATATTTTGCGCTACATTTGCCGCCATACACGCTTCATATATTCACATTAATAGCCTTTAATAGTCCACTGTTGGACATAGGTCTTTCCTTAAGAGGTTTGTCCTACTATACCACGCTGGCCAGACGGGTTTGGTAGAGGGTTTGTGTCAAGTTTCCCTTCTTTTTCCAGTGCTGTCGTCCTTCGTAGTTTGCTCGTATTTCGTATAAATGTATAATCTCGAAAAGTGCTATAACGATTCGTGTAAAGATTTTTGCTTTTGAAATTTATCTGTATAGGTATCTTTTCTGCGACAAACACTGGATTAAAAACTTGACTATTCTATTATTATTCTATTATTCGGCCGTGGGGTAGGTCATGCTTCTACAGAAATACTCGTAGGCCGGCGCGACCGGAGTGACACTGCAACCTCACAGAAAACTGGTGCTAAGCTATTTTGTTTGTTGTTTTTCACAAAGTCACTCACTCCAGCTCACTTGAGCCCAAACCCCCCCTCGTCCCCGATTCCGGGGGAAGGACTCAAAGGGCGGCTACGCACTTGTGACTCTTGAGTAGCAGATGTACATGGGCGATGATAGTTACTAACTATAAGATGACCCTTAATTATCTTTTTGTACCGTAGAAAAAAGTAGTATTAAAAATCCTTTTCAAAATTGATTTGATGTCATTTTTTGAGGAGTTCCGTTGTCTGTCTCTGAAACTCATCACCAGATCTATATGAAATTTAAATGGGACCATTTCGTAATAAACCCGTTTCAAACAAAAAAGAATTTTGAGTTATGCCCGAACATACAAAAAAAATAGTAACATCCGAATTGATAACCTCCTCCTTTTTAGGGTCGGTTAAAAATGTACATATACAACACACGTTTTCTAATTCCTTGATTTCTTTTTAGGAGTCCACAACTGAATCATTAGTCATTGCTACTCCGGCACCTGATCGTAGTGTCATGAGGACTATGTTCAGAAATATCAATCTGAATGAGACAAACGCAATGGATTGGCTCGCTGTTGAGGCCATCAGCTTAGATCATCAGCCAGCAGCATTAATGGTCAAAGATGTAAGAAGAGTATTCTTATTTATTTATGAGTTTTAAATAAAACATATTTTATTACACAACATACAGTAACAAGTAAAGGATTTTTGGAGGAGAAATATTGTAATTAATTGAATCTCGATTAATGATAATTGATTGAATAATTATTCGATTCGAATGACATGTTCAACGTGTACTCGTGATAATAATGTCAAAATATAGATAGTTAAACTGTTTCTTTAACAGTATTGATTGTCATAATAGAATATAACATAGAAGCGGTGTGGTCTAACTTCAGGAGCGGTACGTGTGCACCAGGGACTTCCTTTCTAGGGTATACCTGGTTCCCTGGCTTTTAGTACCCGAGACGGCGTATGGTTTTAATCGGTTCGAGTCCGACATGCCACCACCACCACGGTGGTATCCGAGGGGATTTCCGCACGGAAAAAAAAGGAGCGGTACGTGTAGTCGATAAACCGCATATTTACTCTAAAATAACTATGATTTTGAACATTTTTTTTTAAAATTGCTTTTATTGGTGTAGGGGCTAAAATATTATAATATTTCATGAATTTTATTGACGACTTCAACGATTCTCTTTTTTTATAAATCAGACGTTTAAAATAAACCTGAATGATGCCATTAGTGGCTTGAAAAAGATGAAAATAAAATTAAAATAAGTTTTCTTAATTAAAAATCACGCATTTTCGTCACGAAAATGCGTGATTTTTAAGACGCTATCCACAAAATTACCCAAATAGATGATCACACTTTCTCTGTGACTTTCTGTTTACATCTTTTTTTATCTTTTACAGTGTGGCGAAGAAGGGTGTAAGGCTAGGGTACGTATTTGAGAACTTTCTGGATGTCTTAACAACAGCAGTTCCCGAATCCCTCCTATTACAGGCGCAGAGTGGGCTCTGCCACTCTGCGCCTGTAATAGGTTGTGGTTTTAGTCGGTCCGATTCCGACACACCACCCCGCCGCAAACCCCAGTGGGAGGCCCGAGGGAGTTTCCAAACGTAAATAGAATAAAAAAAATGAATTTGAGAACTTTAATAATTACAAAATGTAACAAAAACACTAGGTCACTGACTGTAATAATTCTGAAAGTTTACAGTGATTTAATAATTGTTCGTACGTCGTATAGAAATAAACTTACCCTTTTAATTTCAGTGCACAAGAACGAACTGCCAGAGTATGGTAAGCTTTCATAATAGTATTACACGCCCAGATCCTGTAAGCTTATAATTATTTTTTAATTGATTGAAATATTAAAAAAACAACAAAAGTAACTGTATGTCTGTTCGCTTTCACGGCTAAACCCCTGAACAGGCTTTAATAAAATTTGGAGATAGTTGGATTCTTGAGGAAGGACATACTATTTACTGCGAAAACTATTTAATAATACATTTTTAACTGTAGTTTAATTTAATGAATTCACAAGGGTGAATAATAATTATGTATATACGACGCGCCTATTGGTCCGTTGGGAATCGAACCCGAGACCTCAGCACAGCAGTCGCATACGCTACCACTGCACCACCGAGGTAGTCAAGTAAAAACAAAATAACAATAACAAAAGACAGACAGACGGGTCCTTTGGTCTATTAGTCAGTGACTCTGACTACTATGCTGGAGGTCGTGGGTTCGATTCCCGCCCAGGACAAATACTCGTGTGATGAGCACGATAATTTATTCTGTGTCTGGGTGTAATTTATCTATAATATGTATGCATTTAAAAATTTAAAATAATGTTTATCATCAGTCTGCTTACCATAGAGTCAGACAGTCGTGTGTGTGAGGTTATTATTATACATTTGGCTACATTTATTTTCATTCATGTTCGTTAGTAGCTGTTCAAAGTAACTACACTATTACATTAGTTAATACATCTGTAATAATAGATGTCTGTATGTAAAATAAATAACTAACTAACTAATCAATTCGAAGAAGTGGCATTCTTCGTTAATTTCTAAACCTCATTGTCAGCCTGCCATCTAGTACAACTAATTTTAAATTATTTATCAACGATTTTAACCCTTTCACAGTGCTCAGGAGATACATGTAGTTCTGGGGTAAGCATACAATCGTATCTATACCAATAAATAAAATTGGAGTGTCTGTTTGTAATATTAAAATAACCGCTTTTTACTAAATGCATATGTATGTTTACACGGTACATATGCCAAAATAACATTTTTTACAATTTTTGTCTGTCTGTCTGTTTGTTCCGGGTAATCTCTGGAACGGCTTGACCGATTTCGACGGGACTTTCACTGGCAGATAGCTGATGGCATAAGGAGTAACTTAGGCTACTTTTTTAGACTAGCTTCGCCCCGCGACTAGCTAACAACAAACGCGGGTGACACCGCGGGTCTCAGCTAGTTGGAAATATAATAGGGCATTAGCCATAAGGAAAATGCGCCTATAACATTTATGTCCTTTATCTTTGAACATCTTATTTTGAACTTACAAACCATTATTTCTTGATGACGGCGAGTCTTTAATCATAAACAAAAAAATGGAAAATACACCCTAATATAAATCCCTGTTTCGCAGAATTTAGATTCATTAAGCCAGTAAGCCTTTACTGAGAAGACAAATGTATTAAAAAACCAGTAGGTTGACATTTTCGAATTGGCCGCCGAGTCGTTATATTTTTCTGTTGCTGTTCACGCAAACTTACGACAGTCATTGCTTTGCATTGCATTCAATTCGAATGTCCGCTCCGCTTCGAAATCGGAGTATTTTTAAATCACTTGTGCAGGACACCCCGTATCCTGGTCCTCGGAATCGCCTCTTTTCTACAAATCGTTGTCGCTACATTACCCTATACAAAACACATAAAGGTTTTTATAGATAAAAAAACCGGTCAGGTACGAGTCAAACTCGTGCGCCGTGTTGACTCAGGACCTTGATTTTTATACATCTAATAGGGACCATAGACCTCAGTATCTGGTATAAATTTCAACTTGCTAGGTCTACCCGTTCCTTAGAAAATCGGTGGTGACACACGGACAGACGGACAAGAAAGTTTTTGACTTCTTCACATAAAATATATTATAATAACAGTTAACTTAAAGTAAGGCTTTAGCTTACTCAAGTAACAGATCCGTACGTAGGGAATACCACGTCAGGATTTATTGCGGCCATTAAGTAAAGTATATCTCCGATAACAGGCACACTATACCTGTGCTGATGTTACATTGTTTCAAACGGAATGTGTCATTTTTACGCAATTGCACAAGAATAATAATGCCTTACTTGCGCGTAATGCCTTACGCGCTTTTTACCAGTCATTTTTTTATGGTATAGGAGGCAAGACTTAATGGTCACAGGTGCTATGCCTCCCTTCAAATCCTACCCTAGAATCAGCGTGAGGAGGGGATAGGCTCATGGCTTTCGAGTGATAGAAGGAAAACACGAAGTAGTTGCATTTAAGTATGTGTATTATTATGTATGTGTATTGTTTTGGTATGCTCTAAAACCTAAATAGAGTTTGATAGATTTCATGAGCTGTCATAACATATAGTTCAATCTCAGAAGATCCATTGGCCAGATCCATAATAGATCTAATGACGATTTTATGTCCCATTAGATCCTGATTTCAAGAAGTGGATCTTCTGATGATTTTTTATTTAAAAGAGCCATTGGCCACACCCGTGATGGATCTAATGACATATGTAGATCTCATTAGATAGGTACTCGTTTAAAGTTGTAGATCCACTGAGAAATTAACAATGTTTCGTTTGCTATTTAACTTTCATAATGAGCCTTTCTAATATAAGCAAATATAAGATATAAATTAATATTTTTGCCATATTGACATTGAAGTATATTGCGTTATAATTGTTTTTAAAAATGAGTGAGAATGAAGTGTTCAATTCCATAAGCATATTCTATATAAAAAAGACTTTGTCTGTAGGGAGTCTATAGGAAAATAGTACCCCTCCAGGAAAAAGTTCCAACACTATTTTCCAACTTTTGTGACAAAGGTTTAAAAACGGTCCTAACCTAAACGTCGCAAAACGAGCATTCAAAATGACAATTGCACTTTATTTGCACAAAGCATTTTATTTGCACTGTTAGCTGCATTCGTAAATGGCGAAATTGGCATATGTCACTTCTTATTATTCAGTGATGAATATAAGGGGTTTTTTTTTAAATGAGTATTTCTACTAATTAATTTTTGCTTGTGATTGAACGTTTTCAATTTTGCTTCCCTTCCCTCATCTCCTCATCCATTACCTCATCGTCCCTTGTTTGCAAATAATCTTGTTCACCAAGACAGGTATTAGGAATTCAGGATTTGTTATAATTAGTGATATTCACTTGTTTTAGCGTTTTAACATACAAAATTCTAGTTAGATCCATTATATTTTAAGTTTTTATATGAATAGATTTAATAAGAAAAAAAATCGTCTTTAGATCCGCAGTGGATCTGGCCAATGAATATTCTGAGATAGAACCTTACATTTGTAGCAACATCAATTTACAACGAAATCATATCGGAATCTCATTATCCTAGAGTAAGACCAACAGGACTGTTAAAATAAAATGTAAATTTCTATGCTTTCACTTTCCAGTGTATTGGTATTTCCTGCAGTGCTTACGTAAGAGATTATTACTAATTATTCTTTTGTAATTTTATCAATTGTACAATAATATACTTATAGGCATATTTCTCACATAATCATCATCAACAGCCTTTAATGGTCCACTACTAGACATAGGCCTCTCCTTAGAAAGGAGGTTTTGGCCTACAATGCCAAGCTGGCCGGACAGGTTGGTATGGGATTTGTTTCAGTTTTCTTTCTCTTTGCAGTGCTGTTGTCCTGCGTAGTTTGCTCCCTTAATCTCTTACGACACTCTTAACTACACGGACACACAGATAAATAAAATGGTATGCTTTAATACACTATACGCTTTGACAGTGAACTAATATAATCAGAACTTAATATATTTTGTTTCTCTCTACAAATGAAATTAATACATGTTGTATTCTGTATTCATAAAACTATATCTAATTCAATGCAATTTACTAATGTAATAGTTCCCATTTGCGTTTATCGTCACTACTCTGCTCCTAATAGACGTCACGTGATGAACATACCTTACACACACCTCTCTTAATGTGTACTTTATGCAATACAGAAAGAATTATTGAAATTTGTTTGAAAACTCCAGACATTAAGACGTTCAAATCAATAATCTTCTCTTAAAACTAATCGGCTTTATTGTATTTGTATATATAATAAAATACTCATTCCAATTTTTATTGTTTTAGTGCAAAGGACCCGGATGCTTGTCAATGGTAACCTTTTTTAATTTCATCTTGGCTTTGTAAGTGATGAGAAACTCGAAAAAATGAATTCTTTTTAGATGTGTGTGTATTTAGATTTAGAGTGACAGCCGCCATTTTAGCGGAACGTCAGAAATAAAGGGGCGAGGTGGCCATTTTGTTTGACGAAACTCGAACAACGATTGCCGCCTCGTACTCTTCTCACCAATTATTTGCCATGCAATCACTGAAACTCATACAAATGTCTAACCTGTAGTTGACTGATAGTAAATAAGTATAGATCAGTGAGTTATTATTTCCTGATCAGGTAACTTATTTAAAACTTAATCTATGTATTTGAGGAAGCCTTCCGATTTTGACCATCTAGTTGCTATATGTATAAAAACGATTTTAGTAAGTTTAGGCGTTGGTTAGATAGAAATAAATATTCGGTTCCCTATTTTAAATAAAGAACATAATTGTTAGATATGTTATTGATTTAAACTCTAGACATTCATTACATCATCAGGAACAATAAACTTAAACCCTGCGAACAATTATTTTAAATCGTAACACAATAGAAGTATTCTTTGAATTTTAAACACTATCTTTATTAAATATTCACATTAAATTTGGGTAACAAGTATTTTAATAACGCTCCCCCCTGTTGAAGGAGGTACATTAAAATAAAGAAAAATATAACTTTTGGGTGTACAAGGTGTCTTTTGTCAAGGAATGAAGAACCTGTCCGGTTCTTCATTCCTTGACAAAAGACCGCTGGTCTGAAACTAGTCGGATATATCTAAAATACGATAATAAATACAAATACTTCTCGAAGATTTATTTAATCTAAAAGAGAAACAGTTTTTCTAAATGATAAACAAGTCAAAATGGTATCTTATCTTTTTATTTTTCTTCACTAAACCTCAAAACGTATCGCGACATGACGTCACACGTAGCTATTGTCAAATCATGTCAAAACATGAACTATTAAATTGATAATGGAGGACAAATCATTGTGTCGTAAATGTTGCGAATTTACCCTATTTTGCTGATAAAACCATTTGCATAATTTATTTTTAAACTCCTTACATTACTGTTCTAGCACGTAATTAATTATTAATTCAGCCGGTTCTAACGCACCGAGAGGGTTGCAAATAAATTCTAGAAGCAAACATTTCAAGTTTGTTTTTAATTTTCAGTGCATTGGCGAATATTGCAATACCAAGGTATGATCACGCTCAATCTACCAGTTGTTTACTTAATGTTTTAATTTATTTTCAGAAGGATGCTCTTAGGAATGGAATGTTCTGAGTGCTTTTTAAAGATAACTGTTGATTAAATAGTATTAATTTGTGTGGCTCGCCTGTTGGTCTAGTGGTTAGTGAACCTGACTGCTAAGCCGGAGGTCGTGGGTTCGATTCTCACCCAGGACAAAGCTTTGTGTTATAAGCATGAGATGTATGTGTCTGGGTATAATTTACCTATGATATGTATGAACTCGCATTTAGAAATATATAAGTATTTTTATCAGGCTCTGCCTAGTTTGGAATGTCTGATTCCATTGTGTGGGATGTGTAAGGTTACTGTTAATGTGTGGGATATATAAAATGTTTCTATAAATTGTCGTGAGGAAGCCATGCTTTGTCATAATAATATATGGCCGAGTCCAATGATATTACATACATACAAGAGGTAGATACGCCACCAACGCACAAAACGTGAGGGTCCTAATTAGGACCACGAAACCGAGCGCACGTACTAATTAATTTGAAAAAAAAAACATAAAATACCTTCTGTCGCTGTACTGATTACGAATAGCTCTCTTTCACTCTTACGCTTTCCCTATTTCCTATTGCACTTTGGCGTATGTTTTGTTCTAAAATGCATTGATAGACGTATGTATAGTGTTACGGAACAAATATTTTGTGCGTGCAGTATGAATATAACATATCCTTAAAATATCATTGGCCAGCTTAATCAGAGAGACACTACGGCCTCACACAGAACCGGTTTTAACCAATTCTTTTTACCGAGTGAGTTAACAGAGTACTGAATGATTACAAGTAGCAATGTGGGATTAGCTGAAATAAATTTGTCGTATTAGCCACTCCCAGTAATAAACTCGATTCGTGGACCAGAGTTAGGCTTGTTTTGAGAAGGTCCGGAGGTCTTAATACCAGAAGTTCTTGGATACCACATATTTCAGGCGTAGAGTGTCACACGGTGTGGTTTTAGTCGCAAACATCGTTTGGGTAACAGCCCACTCGGTTTCAAATAATATTCTTGTGATAATTTGTGAAAAAAGTTTTGTATTGCAAGTCACGTCGTATAATAGCGTATAGTCGTCGTAAATACAAAGTACCTTAGTTCCACTGTGTGTAGAACCTTACTTTTAATATGATTGGTTGTTATTCCCCGAAGTGCGATTGCGTTCAAATATAAATTGTATTGTTTTCTTATATTGAACTCAATTGTTTTATTTTTAGTGCGATGGGGAGAGCTGCAGTGCACGGGTATGTAATAAGATTAATCAGCAAAGGGGCAGAAGTAAATAGTTTTAAGAAGGTCTAACTGCCTTAATGGTATGAAGCTAATTTTTCTTAATTCACAAATTCATTCGTGTATAGGATTACTTGATAGTGTCTGCCTATAAAGGCGATATCAGACTCTTCAGTCAGTGAATGTTAAATCGAGTGAATACTTAATTTAAGCGTACCGTACCTCAAATGGAAAAAACGGAACCCTTACAGGATCACTTTGTTATTCGTCTGTCAGTCTGTCTGTCAAGACGCTTTATCTCGAGAACGCGTAGATATATCCAGTTAAAATTAAAACTACATACTCAGATCTACAGTCCCTTGGATCTGTGAAAAAGTAATATTACTAAGTTAACGTTAAAAAAAGAGACAGCAGTTTTTGTCGCAAAAAACACATATTTAGACACTCAAGGGAATCAAGATTTATAGGGTACTTTCCGTTGACTATAAAATTTGGCAAATAGCATGGTCTTATATTACAAGTATATTAAAAAACTGAATACTATACATTTGTAATTAAAACATAAAAAATATGGTCTTTATTTAAAGTACGTAATCAATCATCCAGGCGCTTATAAAACACAATAATATAAGTAATTATAGATTTGGAAACTGAATTTCTTGAAAAAATTGGAAAAAAAACTGCGAGAATCTCGGGAATACCGCACAGAAAAAAAGGCATATATGATAAATAATCATGTATGCCTTTTTTTTTTCTGTGCGGAATTCCCCTCGGATACCACTTACCGGTGGCAATGTCGGACTCCGACACCGACTAAAACCGCACGCCGTCTCGGGTACCAGTAGTCGGGGAACCAGGTGTACCCTAGAAAGGAAATCCCTGGTGCCCCGACTTATCATATATACCTACAAATTTGAACGAAACCCTTGGTGGTCGAATCCGACTCTCACTTGTCCAGTTTTTTTTTTAAATAATACGTTTACCTTTTAGGCCTGATTTTTTTTAGAAAGAATACTTATTTCTAGAGTAGGATAAAATTATAGTTTACCAAATATAGGTGTATAATATATCACTGACTTCTTCCGTGGAGATTAAAGCTAGTTCATATACTAAAAAAAACATTTTAAACAGTGTTCGGGCAAAGGATGTGAAGCGTCTGTGAGTAATATATTAATTAATCTTTTATTCCACACACACTTTTTAACGCACCGCACGCACTTGATGGTATTATTTGATGTAATTTTTTTAATGAATAATACAGAAAGACTATATTTAAGACTAAAGTGCCATTTATCGAATGCAAATGTGAACTAAATACAGAAAACTAAGTTTTTCTCCATTGGTCATATTGCCGGCGCTTCTTGGAGGCTTTTTTTCTCTATGATTCTCAAGGGCACACTTGTAACTATTGAGTTGCCATTTTATTTATTACCATCAGGTGACCCGTATGTTATTTTACCATGCTATACTAATAAAAAAAGAAAGAAAGAAAAGATTTATCTTGTCTACTACACACACAAACACTTAAATGTTTATAAGTTATAATAATAAAAGGGAAAAGAAAAATTGGGCGTTTATTATTTCTGCTCACTGTCAACATCACTTGTTCCGCCTGACCAAGCGAAAACCGCCTTCATTATTGGTTTTTATTATTTTTGTAGAGGTTGTGGATTTCCGCATAATTATGATACAGATCTGATTAGCGATTATCTTTTAGAATGAAATAATATTTATTTTACAGTGTACGAAGTTCTCCTGCACGCAGTCCATAAATGGAGAGTATAAACTATCTACAACGACATGGGAAGAAGCCTATCCTCAGTACAGTGGCGGCCGTGTCCCTGGCGAGGACAGTGGGCCTGGTGTACTGTATAGGCCTGGTGAGTCTGGTGCACAGAGACACGTGGGCCCAAGACCAAAAGCTTGGGATGTTGACGACGACGACGACGATTAAATTTGAAATCAGAAATATTAATTAAAGGTATAAACATCTTTGAGTCTTGTGTTTTTTTTTCTCCTGCATTAGGAATATATATAAACATACATGAAACGGACACAAAGAACACCCAGACTCATAACAACAATTTGTGGATCACACAGTGTCGTCCCATGTGGGGATCGAACCCACAACACTCAGCGCATTAGTAAGCGTCGTGGCGGCCGCTGAAACCACTACGCCATCCGTGCAATCAACATGCAAGCAACAGTTTTTAACATAATTTTATTAGATTGGTATGTATGTATGGAACGAGGTCTGACCCATCTTGGAACGTGATCTGACCCATCTTGGAGGTAATTAACTCTTCTCGACTGCTCCTTAAAGATTTGAAATTTTTAGCTTTTATGGTATACTAGTGGTTGCCTGGGGCTCCGCACTCGAAAATGTCGGTTATCGCGGTAAAAAGAAGCCTATGTCTTTCCTGAAGAATCAAAGTATCTCCATAACAAATTTCATTTAAATCGGTGCAGCGGGTATTAATTCCCCATAAAAACTTCCACCCTACTTTTCACCCCCTTAAAAGATGCTTACTGGGATAAAAACTATCCTATGTCCTTTCCCGGGACTCGGAATATCTCTCGAAAATTTCATCTAAATCGGTGCAGCGATTTAGGCGTGAAGAAGTAACAGACAGACAGACTGACACACTTTCGCATGTATAATATTAGTATGGATATTAGTATGGACATACGAGTTATCTATTGTTGCCGTTACATATTCATAGTTGTCAAAAATTTAAATTAGCATGACTTTGGCATCGGTGTTTCCAAGCATTTGGTCCACTTAAAAATGACGGGCATTAGTTAGGGTGATAAGAAGATTTAATAGTGCTTTATAACCGCAACTTAAGTGTTCTTTGAAGAACGAATAATGTCAAACAACATAGTGTCTACTTTTACTTAGTAAATGTAATAGTTTACAGAAGTAGTGTTAAGACTGTTGTTAACAACACAGCTTCCAGAAAGTTCCATTTTCTGTGTTGCAAGTTAACCTACAACACACGGCACTGTAATCAATTGAATTAGCTCAACTAAACGTGTTATAACTCATTATAACTAGCTACAGCGGGTGTAAACCGGTTATGAGCGGTACTAAGGTATTGGATAAACTGGATAAAACGACTACGCTAGGCAATTTAACCAAATTTAACAGACAGTATAACCATGTTTTAGAGTCGGATAATAAAGCTCTTAAATAACTTAGGCCAATGACTGAAGTTATCATTATCAACAGCCTTTGATAGTCCCCTCCTGGACATAGGCCTTTCCTTGGAAAGGAGGTTTTGGCCTACAATACAACGCTGGCCTAACGTGTTAATGTAGGGTTTGTTTTAAGTTTTACCTCTCTTTGCAGTGCTGTTGTCCTGTAGGGATAGTTATACTCTGTATTCTTAATCCGCCACCATAGGGCCCGGCCCGTAAAGTACGTTTATTCTCTCAGTAAAATTAGCATTTACGCAGTTCTAATGAGAAACATCTAATTCGAAGGGTCAAACCGGTAGTTGGTGTGGATACGCGTGGCTGCGCTATGTGCGAGAAAATGGAACAAAGTAAAATATGAAATAAAAATGGTTTTGTCTTTTTTGGTTTGGAGTTTTGGCCAGAAGGAAATAAGCCAGGAGTTTGGTTGTGGAAATTTTCAGTGAACCCTAGTAAAATCGTCAAGTTTGGACTCATATAATTAGTTTTAACGAGTCTAATCTGATTTGGTTTGGTTTACTAATTGAGGTCGTAAGGAAGGTCTGATGATAAAGCCAGAAGCTTAGTAGTGACTTTATTTTACTTCTTCATTCACTTCTTTTTTTGGACCCTAAATGATATAGGGGCCAAACGAGCACCTGAGCTGGTAAGTGACTAGCACCGCCTGTGTATATTTATAACTGAAGAGATCAATTCCATTTCTTCCCCCCATTCTTAAGGGAGTGGGGGAGGGTGATTGGCCCCCACCCCAAAGAACATCCGGACTCAGAACAACACAAGGTGTAGTCCTGTGTTTAGATTGAACCCACAACCGCTTAAACCACGGCACCATACGTGCAATTTGTACCACAGCATGACTCTTTCACAATTTGAATGTGTTTTATGACGTGTTTTTTTTACATTTTTACTGAAAGTTATATTAAACTACTGTCCCCAGTTAGCTGGACGTATTTTCTTAGGCTATCAGATCAAGAAACCGATACCCAATGTAATGATTCTCTTAATGATAGTATTGTATCCACCACGCCTCCACAGTAAACAGTCACTATATCTCACCAATTAATAGTTCGCACCAGACTTGATGTTCCAGGGTCGCGCCCTTATGTGGAGGAAATTAAACTGTTACGGTGTATCCATTTTATATGTGACGATACGGGGACGATACGATGCAGATTTTGAGTGTTATAAACGTTTAGTGATGGTCGCTGGAGCCAACATGTGCTAGAGTAAAGCCCACGATGTAGAGCGCCCTGCGGCACGATGGACCTACGACTTGAGGAACGTTCCTGGCAGTGGATGGAGGACCGAGATAGTTGACGCTCCTTGGGGGAGGCCTTCGTTTAGCAGTGGACGACAATATACGTATAATGATAATGATGAAATCTTTGGTTACTGTTATAGAGGTTTTTGTACAATAGGGTACTTCAACAGGGGTATTTGTTGGAACATTCGATATAAAAAGAGATAAAATTTAAGAAACAAGCTCTGTAGTAAACAATAGTTATATGGGTTTAAGGAATTTTATTTTAAAACGTTCTTTACACAAATAAATAGATACAGTGATGAACACATTCATTCACAGTTTTAATTTGGTTTAAATACCTTAACACAATAATCATGAAACAAAAGAACAAATATTACATTTACAAATATTAACCAGTTGATGAGCGTTCGACTAAAATGACAAGATAGCTATATACATGTCATATCACATCACCGACCTACAACAGTCCACTGCTGGACCTAGGTCTGTCCTTAGAAAGGAGGTTTTTTATAGAGTTTGTCTCAAATTTTCCTTTTCATTACAGTGCAATTGTCTTGTGTACTTTGCTCCTCTAACCGGCTCTAACGACACCTTGTATATTTATAAACAGTGTTTTATAAGCAATGTTGGTATGAATGAGTTTGTAATTTATCTGTGTTAGATCACATTTTACTTCTCTCTCTATCTCTCTCTCTCTCTTTGTACTTTCTACTAACACGAAATATTACTATTGAACTGTGCCATAATAAAGTTCACTAGATTAAACGACATTTGTTGTGGTTAAATGCTATAACTAATGTTTTAAATGCGAGTGTGTCTGTCAGTCTCTTACCCACGCTTAAACCAATGAACCCATTGGTATACAGATAGTTTGAGTTTTGGGGAAAAGACATAATATCGTTTTTATACCAGGAATCATGATTTAAAGGGTTACAAAGGAAGGGGGCGGGGTTGAAGTATGTATGGGGAATCAATAAACGCTGCACCGATTTACATGAAATTTGGTAAGGAGATAGTTATGTTTTTGAGGAAGGACATAAGCTACTATTTACAGCGGTAACCGACATAGCCGCGATAGCCGCGGGAAAAGCTAGTATAAGTCACCGTTCTGCGCCCGTACGCTTAGATTTTATAATTATTTTAAAAGTACCTAAATAATGACGCATGTATTTTACTGTATGGTGTTAATTCCTATCAACCTCGCTTGATGCAGCATCTGTTGCATTTTTACAAACCTCAGTGGTTTTCAAATGCACTATTATAATCAATAATTGTAAATTGCTTTGTAATATGTAAAATAAATAAATAATAATATAGTCCCGTAGAATCTAAATATACTTATGAATGTTGATAAAAAGTACAACGAATTCATTTTGTGTGATAAATAGAATAAGAAACACAGTGCAATATTTTTGTGAAGGGGTGAGGCACTGAAATACTTCAGTAATTTCAAGAGCTTCTTATTGTATTTAGTTCGTGAAATCTATTCTAATGAGATTTTAGTTAAAATATATTTTCTTACAAAAAATACACACATTTTATTTGTGGTTTTCCCATCAAAAAGTTTAGTATATAAAAGAAACTAGCAATACCTATCGATAACACCGACAAATCCACAAGGCTCTGAATAGTATTTCTTTACACAGATACAGAAGAAAATTCCCAATATTATAAAGTTATCCATCATCCCATAAAAAGAGGAAAAGAGGTATATAAAGCTTGTTTCCCTATTATTTCCTCTCTACACAAACGGTGAAAACTTAATGTTAAATTATTCTGTCACAATGCGAAAAACCTTTTGAATATATCACAGAAAACTTTATTAGATGCGGGCGATTTGAATAAATTGCTGTTTAAAAAGATCTGGTAGGGAAACTTTTTGTTTAGGGTTGATCGATGTTGTCAAAGGTTTCTTTGTAAATGGGGTTATAAGGAGTGGCTTTGACGTTTCCATTTTCGTTAGAGAAGTATTAACGGTTTACAATTTTGGTATTAAACGCTACTTGGTATTTTGGTATTAAACGCAAACGGTGAAACAACTGAACTGAATGACTTGTCTAGTGGTTATATAGCGACGATGACTGCTTCAGATCGTTGGCTCGATTCCCATCCAGGACAAGTATTGTGTGATGACTATGATAATTTATTCTGTGTCTTGGTGTGATTTATCTCTAATATGTATATGTTTAAAATTTTTGATGTATGTTTATCAGCTGTCTAGTGATCATAATACCGACTTCTATTAATTTAAACTTAATCATGAATCATCGAGTTGTCCACTTTTCAGATGGAAACTCTTGACAGAGTGGTTTTAGTCCCTTTGCCCCCTTCGCTCCGGATTACTCGCTTATCTAGTGCATTCTGTATTTGGATTGGTCAGAAATTCTATCATGTCTGTCTATCTAGTTCATATCTGTCGAAGCTTTGCATTTCACTCAAAGCTTAACCAGAATTGCGTGGAGGAACTTCCGTGTGAGATTTTCCTGAGAAAA